TTGCTATTAACCACATATTTACTTGTAATAAAAACCTATAAAAAAAATTAATTTGTTAACTCATTGTCTTTATTGAGTGCTAAAAATAATTATCTAAACATGAATGTTTTTATATTTCTAATAAACCTTTAGAATGCAGTGATGAGCTTAATTTTGAATATACACTTTGAAGCAAAACAGTTTAAGTGTAATTATAAAATAAATATTTAACAAGATTGGAGTTAGTTAATAAAATAAAAATAGATGGATAGAGAAAATAGAAAGATCAAAGGATTAAAAATTCAATAATTTTATACAAAAAGGAAACAACATTTAGATAAATACTTTAATTAAATTAAAATAATTTATAAAATACAGCTTTTAAAAAACACATTTTAGAACTAAACAAAAAAATTTAAATTTAAAATGATTGTGTTTATTTTATAGAAATCGTTAAATTCATTTTATAAATAAAACTTTTAAGATTATTAAAATATTTATTTCAAACCATCTTGAATTTTTGTTTCTAAAAATGCTTATTATTAATCTAAAAAAGCTTATTTTATTAATAAGTATTCTTAGAAATGATTGTACTTGTTTATTCAAAAAAAAAATTAATTATTCTTTTCATAACTTAATCTAATAAAAGATATTTTTTAAAGTTTTAATTTCATAAAAGGATATCTTTCTTTCTATCTATATATCTCTCTTAATTTATTTATTTTTGCTATCTATTTTAATAGATTAAAATTTGGGCTATCTGAAAAAAAAAAAAAATTAAGTAAACAAATTTAGTTTTTCATAAGATTTTTTTTCTTTAAATATGAGCTTTTATCAACAATAATGCTTTAATCTGTATTATTTTCGTTAAAATTTTTGTTAGCAAAATTCTTGTCAAATATTTTTATTTTGTATTATTTAAATTCAATATTTTATAAAAATCTGACCTTTAAATTTCTACAACTTATTCAATAAATTATGATGTTAATATAAAAATATTTGTTATAACAAAACAATAGATGATAGCTAAATAAATAATCATCCAATTAAAAAGCGTCTATATTTATTTTATTCATTTTTTATTTATTTATGATTGTAAAAATGGTTGATTTTACTTATTCAACTTAATATATTTTTTTATGATTTATAATTATGTCTATTTTTTTATAACTTTCTATACCAGTACATCTATTTAAGTTTTTTAAAATAAATTAATAATTAAAAATAATAAATATATAAAAAAGTGAGCTTATAAAATTGATATTTAATTGCAATAATTCAATCAAATCGTTATAAATGAATAAATAAATACAGATAAAAACTCTTTATCATAAACTAATAATAAAAAATTGAATTTTAAGCAATTGATTTACATTATCTACTATTTAATTCATAAATTAAAAAAATAAGATTTATAATAAGTGAAATTGAAAAAGGTAGCTATTTATTAATTTAATTTAATTATAATTTTGAGGATTATCAAAAAAAGATAACTAACTAAAATTGAATAGATAAAAAAAATTAGTTAGATTTAATAATTAATTAATTAATTACCTCTTTTAAGAATGGCTATTGTAAATCAACTTACAAAAATTTAAATCAATTTATGATATTAGGTGTTTTTGATAAGGTCTTGATTTGTGTTTCCTTTCTATTTTAATTAATAATTAAATGTGAGCTTTCTGATAAAATTGTATATAGAAAAGATTAAAGATATCTAATAAATGCAATATTTTATCAGAATTTTTTTTTATAAAAAGGATCTTTAATGCAATTGGTAAATTGATGGTCTTTTCGGATATATTGATTTATTCAGCTCTAATTATATACATTTGATTTTAAATTATTTTTCTAATCTACTGATTAATTGGAAATATTGTTAAAATCTGATTGATACTTTGTAAATAAAAGTACTTGAAATTATCTTCTTATAATTAATAGAGAAAATTATTCATAATAGTCTTATTTTCAATAATAATATATTATTAATGGGTTTAAAAAAAACAAAAGCTGCATGTTTCCCAATTAATTATAAAACTCTATCTAATATTTTTCATTTTAAAAAATTGTTATTATAAGATAATTTATTACATTTTTGAATATTGCGATTACCTTTTAAACTAATTTTGACTGTATTTTTTATCTATTTTAATTAAAACAAATTCACCTTTCCTAAGAAAAGACTATAGAAAAGAGAAAATAAATCAATTAATTTACCATTTCATCAGAATAAGTATTTTGAAATACTATCTACCATTTAATAAAGTATAATAACCATTCATTGTTATCCATTCATACTTTTAGTTGTAATTAATGAATTTAACTATTAAATATTTTTATAATATATTATTTCATTAGAGAATTTATCAAAAATTGTTTTTTTTAAATAAAAAGCAAAAAAATAAATCAATTAAATGATTCTTGTTTTAAGTCTTACAATTTTCTTAATAAAAATTATTGATAAAGTGAAAAGAAAAGAGATAGATAATATTTGCATGAAACTTAATATTTGCAAGTTTATTCGGTCAGTCATTCAAAAATAGTACAAATTTTAATTGTATGTAATTTATTCAATCTAATTAAATACAATAAATATTGATTAATAATTAAAATAATGACAAATTTTTTAAAAGAGGAATGAATATAAGTGATTATCTTAATTTTACTGAGATTATTAAAGGATTCTATTTCTATTTTAAATAGCATGAATGGCATAAAGAGTTGAATAAAAATGAATTCGCATTTTTTAACAAAAAATAAATTAAACGCTTGCTATTTAAATTTAATAAAAATAGACAATTTTACTAAAAATAAGTATATCGAAAAATCATTTAAATTTTCAATTAGAATCTATTAATTATCTTGCTTGATTGGGTATTTAATTGGAATAGAATGGCTTTTTAATATTCAACACAATCTATTATTCAAAATGACAAATTGTGAATTTTTTCTCAATGATTGAAAATTAGTGGTAATAGACTCTCTTATCTGCTCTCTATGAAAAAATTTGAAGGGTATCTCTAATTTGAGGAGGAAAGGGAAAATTAATCAAATTCGAGTTTCGCTTCCACATTTTTCTTAAAAAATATTTAATTGTTTTGATTTTCTAAAGCATAAAAATATCTTTGTTTTTTTGGGAGGATTTTAATCAAACTAATTTTAATATTATTGTAAGATTGATTAGTTGGTAAATGAAAAAATTAATGTAATTTTGCATAAAAGTTAACTTAATTAATCAATAAAGGTTATTATACTTTTATAAAGGAAATCTTAGATTAATTAAAAACTGAATTTTGTGGAAAATTAAAACAAATAAAAAATATTGTTAAAATAAATCCAAATTGAACTGAATTATTAAAGAAAGATAAACTCCATCCATACTATTTTACAAATAAAAAAGCACAAATATATAAATGGAATAAGAAATAGACTTTGTTATTTCATGCTATGGAGATGATGACCTAGACTATTCTAAATATATAGACCACTCAAATGATAATTTATATGATAGAAAAGAAAAGCTCAGAGATAGTTTTGCTACTCAGGCTAACTCCTTGTTTTAAAGTGCTAGTAATATATTGTGTGAATCACTAACTTCAAATGCAAGCTTCACTTCAATTTAAAGAAACAACTCTATGCAAGAATAGACAGATATGAAAAACTCCTTTAACTACTACTCTCAAGTAGAATGTGATAATTCTAATAATAATATTTAAAGCGTCAATCCCTAAGAAAAGAGATGTTCTATAGATATAAAGTGCTTATAGAAAGAATATAATTATGAAAGTATATCTAAAATATTCTAAGATAATTCTACTGCATTCCTCCATGGAGAAATTGCTATCTAAAAATAGAGCACCGCTTATTCTTTCTCAGATTCTGATTTTATGAATCAAGATATTCTTAAATACCATAAATAAGTATGTAATATAACGTAAACAAGTAATTTCTTGCATGTAGAGTTAAGTTAAATTTAATAATCAAATTAATAATAAATTAACAACATAAAATTTTAATGGGAGCAAGAAAAAAATGAGGAGCTAGCTTGGAATAGCGAACAACCTTACCTCTATAATTAGGAAGACTATGAGAATGTCTAACAAAACTAATCTTAAGAGCTATGCAACTTAATTAATGATTATACTCATATTATTTCCTAATAATAACAATATTTCCAATAAAGCTTTGAACATAAGGATTTTTACTTACAAAATATATAGAGCTAAGAAAGATTCGATAGTATCAACAAAAGAGCCTTTAAAATTTTGAGAAAACTTTAATAAAATAGTAAAACCAGTATTTTTTCCTATAAAATTGTAAGAAAAACACCTTTCGAATATATTACACTCTCTCGCGGTTTATCTAATAGCTTTTTTGATAAATTAGGATTAGATAAATAAGAAACTTCCTAGTATATTATGAGAAATAACTGTCTCCCATTAAATTGCTACATTAATACTTAAGAAAAATTAAAATAGAGTTTTTAAGAAATAGTTACTCACTTAAGCTTTTTGCACTCTAATAATAATTACAAAAGAACTTATTAATGTGGTGAAATGCAATTTAACGCTATTATAGAGAGATAATTTTTTGCTCTAAATTAACAAATAGGCGATTAAATTTTAGATATTAATGACTACTTAATCGTAGAAATTATGTAAATAGAAGACCAACAAATAAATTAATTTTCATAACAAATGAAACAAAGAAAGTAATAATTTGGATTTTGTTTTGATTCTACTGAATTTCAATACAAAGTAATGAGTTCTAATATCGTTGATAGATATTATTAGAATTATTCTGAACAATAAAGATAAGAAAATTAAATTATAAGATTACTGAATAAAAAAAACCATAGATTCCATTGAAACCGAAAATTATTTATTAGTGAATAAAAAATGAAATCTAAAAACTTAATAAATAAATTACTAACAATAAAGAAAAATTTATATAATATTTATTATATATAACAAAAATTTTTAAAAATAAGTGTATAAAATGCACTGAATTAAAGTTTAGTTTATTCCTTATTATAAAACCTTAAATTAAATAAATATAGTATTTCTTCATAATATACATATATATATATATAAAGTTTAAATTAATTTAATAATAATAATAACAATTCCTCTTTCTGCTTAGAGTTAATTTATTTGTTTTGTTTAATAAGATATACTATTTACATATAATTACTGTGATGGATTTTGTATTTTGAAACGAAATAGTTTTTCTCCATTGATATAGATTGTAAGAATGAATTTAATTTTAATTTTATAACTTCTAATTTGTTTGAATTTAACAGATTCCTTGACATTAAAATTTATATTTAAGATTAAAAAAAATATATAATTTATTAGACTTGTAAATTAAAACATGCATTAAAATTTATCTAAAAAAAGAAGGAATGTGATTTGTTTTGCTTTGTTTGTGAAGACCAATAAAATTTAATATTTATTAATTATTAGACACTTTAAATAGCTTTATAATGCTTACATCTAGCATTCTATTCTAAATACAAAAAGGTAGATCATTAGAAATTTCTTGAATTTTATAGGAATATTTTTTGTATTTTATAAATAATATTTTTAAATGACAAAAATGCTAATATAAATAACAAATATTTTGTGTATATAATTAATTATAAATATATTATTTTTAAGTTTGATTGATTAAAATAAATTAGTATTTAAACGTTGAAGTTAATCATTTACTTAATGTTACAATATTTTCCATTTGTATGTTAACGTGATTATTCTCAGATGAGTTAGAATTCTTTTTAAACATAGATGATTCTTTAACTCTTAAGTGAGATTCATAATCTAATTCCACAATTTTACCAATTTGAAAAACTACAACAAACATAAAAAGCCCATATCCAACAAACTAGTTTAACTAGTACATTTCCATAAAATATTGATAAAATGGAAGTACATTCATGGTAAGAACTCCAATTAAATTAGCAGCTGCAAATGCAAATTAGTGATATTTTTATTTTAATAGTTTAGGTAGATATAAAATAAAAATAGGGAAAAGCATTTCATGAGTTGCTTTAGAGACAATAATAGGTAGAAGTGATAAAATTAAACCTAAGACACCAAAGTTCTCCAAAGTTTAGCTATTTTAAAAGAAAAGACATGATAAATAAGAAAAGCCTATGAGAACGTAGGTGTAAAAGAGGATTTATTTATGCTTAAAGCGAGAAACTAATAGAGCAGCAGAGATTCCACCAGAAAGTTCAAACATAGTTGAAACTGAACTGTTTACATATAAATTACCTTCGAGTCTGTTCATAGCTAAATAAACACCAAAATAGCTTACATAACAACCAGCATTGCAAACCATATAAACTATTAAATTTTTAAATTATTGTTTGTCACTTTTAATTTCTCTCATACGCTCCAAAAGCTCTTAAATGACAGAAACTCCTTCTTAGCGTGGTTCTTATTTAATTGTGTGGCCGTTTCCACCTTATTATTAAGACTCTTCAGCAGCTATTAAGGAGTCATTGAAAGTGTAACCATCACCACCTTCAAAACGCTTGGGGGCTTTGCTACAGTAATAATGGAAAATGCAAGTCATGATCAAGAGAGGGATACCACTGAACTAAGATAAATGAGTACGCCAGTAGACATTAAAATATGCGTAAGTAATATATATTATCATAGTGAAAGCCCATAAAAAGTTGGTTAAAATAGGAGCAGCATCTGCAATTGTATCACAAAAATATTCTGAAGCAAATACAAATAAAATTGCATAGAAATAAGAAAAGCAAAAGTTTTAAGCAAACAATGCAAAATTAACAAAAAAGAGACTGTCAAATAGCATTAAAGAAATCAAGCAAAAAGCTTCAGTGTATAAAGTAATCAAAATGACCCTAATATTTAATAAAATAATGTATTTAGAATAAAAATTCTTAATTTGTATTTAATGATATAAATTCAGTAAATTGTTCTTTTAACTCAAGATTTAATTGAGCTAAATAATTCTGTGTAACAAAGAATTTTAATTCATTTATTTGCTTGATTGTTTTATAGCTTTTAAAATATTAACAATCTAAAAAATATATTAAGCTTTAAATGTAAAATATTTTTTTGAAAACCCTTATTCTCTTATTATAAATAATAATCTAATTTTTTAATTTGTTTAATAGAAAAAATTTAGATTTTCTAAATAATTTTGATAATTAAATTATCTTGATTGAAATAATTATGATATTTAAGATTGCTTTTGAAGAAGTAAGCTAATTTATTTAATAAATAATGAGTGGCTTTATAAAAAAAATATTTAAAATTGTAATTAAAAGCAAAGAGTTTGACAATTTTAGAATCAATTGAATAATAATTATTAATAATATTGCAAATTGATTTCAATTATGAGATATTCTTTTATAGAGTTTAATATTATTACAATATTAATGAAAACAATAATAACTTTATTACTTAAATTTTTTTTGAGTTGGGACGTTCCAGACAAATGAAAGAATGAAACCGCATAATTAACCAATAGTAGATAATGTTTGCATAGAAGCTTCCATTACTTTTCTGTCACAAAATAAGTCATACTCAATAGGTATACTTAGGATGTCGTTATAAGGTTCGAAGTGATATTAAAAAGAGCTGTCTTATTTTCTCAATTTACACATTTCTTCTTCAGTACATTTGTATTGAACTCCATCACTTTTTGTGCATATTATGTCTGGCCTATAAAACATAAAGGGAATACTATTGAAAACAGTTCCGTGAATACCATAAACAATGCAGATGGTTATTAAAGCAGCTAATTGCTTTTTATTTGTTTAAAAAAAGAGCTTCTTTAAGTTCATATTCGTTCACTTACAGAGTAAGTATTTAAATTTTTTACTTTGCTTTATTTTTTGATTTAAAAAATTATAGATCTGATGTTTATGAACTTTAACAATTTCAAAAGCGAATATTTATGTCAGCCAATTATCATTTACTCAGCTAAATTAAATTAAATAAATGAAATTGACAAACTATTAAAAAAGCACATACAAACAAAATATTAACAAAATTTATTTTTGATTAAAAATATTGGATATCTTGCAATTTACTATGTAATATACGTATTATACTTAATCATTACTTTTTTAAACTCATTAGTTATAGTAAAATAGATCAATTTTTTATATTTATACAAATTTAAATTAATTTATTTAATATCTGCAATAAAATATAAATTTGTTCAATGGATAGAACTATCAAAATTAATTAAGTAAATAGAACCAAAATAATATTATACCTTCTATTATGTTTCTTTTTACTTATAAAATTTACATTTTTGTTTGCAATTGATGACGACAAATATGATTTAATTTGATTCAAAAATAAAATATTTAAATATTTTAAGTATATCTAATTAGTCATTTTGACTTTTAGGTTTATTTTTACTATTAGAAAATGTTAATTATTTAGTTGGTTTCTGTATTTCTTAAATACAAATCATAAATATTATTTTTAAACAATCAGATTTTTTTTATTATTATTTACTAAATAAAAAGAACTAATTTTAGTATTTTTACTTTTTAAATGTAAAATACCAAGTATTTTACCTGAAAAATATGAATATTTTATATGAATACACATAGCTATGATTTAAATGAAAATAACATGGTAAAATTTATTAGTATTTATTATTATTAATATAATTTTAAAATACTTATAAAAAATGTATTTCCAACAATTAATACTTTGATAACAGATAACAGATGTAAATTTAAAAAAATTAATTTAGTGATATTAAAAAATATTTGTTAAAAAATAAAACAATTAGCTTTTAACTAAAAATAGATTAGTGATCATTTTATCGTTTTAAGCATATTAATAGGGATTTTTATGTAAAAAATTAAATTATTTTATTACATTAAATTAAGAATAAATAAAAATAATAACCTATCATGTATGTAATAAAGAAATTAAAATACTTTAAATAATAAATTTATTTCAACTTTTAAATGAAAAAATACCTTTTTTCATATTTTTTATTAGAAATAAATTTAAAAAAAAAAATTTGATTTTTTTAAGAATTTTGATTTATTTAATGAAATCAATATAAGCAAGCAAGAAAATATTATTTATTTTTGGAAAAAAATATTTTTAATACCTCTAAATATTATCTAATTTTATTTTCTAAAATTAAGCTAATCCTTAAAATATCAATTCTTGCTAACTTGCTTGCTAGCTTGTTTAATCAAATATTAATTAAAAAGAATTAGGATCTTAATTAGCAAGAATTTTATCATTTAGATTTACAAATTGTTGATTGCTTGTAAAGAAATATTTATTAATTCTAATAAATACAAAAAAATTTATATTTTCAGAAAATGATCCTCAAAAATGAGCAAAATGAAATTAAACAAATCCTTTCTTAAAAAAAGGAATAGTTTGCTGTTGAGATAAGGAGAAGAAAAAATTAGTGCTAGATTGAGAAAAACAGGTAAATTATAGCCTTGAAATTCAATGAGAACATTCACACCAGATATGAAGAAACAAACGCAGCTCAAATTTATGAGTAAATCGTGAAAGAATATAGCTAATAGAATAATTAGTCAGGTATAGATTCTTCTCCTAGTATACTGTTGACAGATGAAGAATTTTAATTGCATTTAAATAACTTAGAGAACTATACAGGAAATATTTAGTTTTATTGCATTTTGAAGTCACTTATTTACATTAATGCATATTTAAGGATGAATAACATGAGTAGGATTAACATTTCTCAAAAGATGATAGATAATTTAGCTGATATTTCAGTTACTTATGAGAATTAACAGACATCTGAAAATTATTATCTCTCTATAATGGCTTTGTAATCAATTTCTGTGATTTCTTATTTTCCAATCAATGTTGATCTTTTCTCAGTAACATATTATTTATTTATTTATTTATTCATTCATTCATTCATTCATTCATTAATTCTGTTGATTTAAGAAGTTCTACTTATAAAAAATATTAAACATGAATTATAAATACTCTATTTAAAATAGGAAAAACTATTTAAATCTTTGTTCACTTGGGTTGACTCTAATATGATCCAATTATAATGCAATAGTTTCTAAGCTATTTATTTAGTATCATGCTCAGATGAAAGCATTATGTAGAAGCTTATTGTGTAGTATGATCTATTAAATATTTCTTTAAATGCACTTAAAAACACAATTAGTAGGTTAAAATCGATTGTTTCAAGTAAAAGCTCAAAAAAACTAAACTCCTAAAACAATTTAGAAGAAGTGCTTAGATAGTTGGTGTTGTAAATAATTAGAATAGTTTAAGATTATCAAATATTAACTATGAAAAGTAACAGCAGATTAGATCATTTACATTTTAACGAGTTACTTATTGAAGCAGCTTCTAAAATATTATTAGAGCATAGCGTAGTGGATATTTCTTCTTCTATTATTTGTGGTTAAATAATAAAATTATCTTTAAATTCTGAAATAACCTTTGAAATTACATTGAAAAATATTATTAATTCAAATATCATACCAATATTTTATGAAATAATTGGAAAATATGTCATGAACTACACAGAATCTAAATCATATTAACAATTAGTAGAAACCATAACAAATATCATATGCATAATATCCTCATGTGATGATCAAAATATTTCATAAATTGTTTATCAGTCAAACAGTAATCTAAGTATTCTCATTGACCTCCTAATTAAAGAGAGATCTAAAATAAATATAACTTCTCTTAAAATAATTCATAATATTTGCTTTGATAATCCATTTGCTTAAAACTATGTTATAGAAAGTAATGCCTTTTGGTAGAATTTAGGATTAATAATATCTTATTCAAGTAGTTAAGAATTGGTGAAAGAAATTCTTCTTTTGTTGTTTTAAATGGTAGAGCAAGTAACAAACAACATCGCAAACAAATTTATTGAGTAAAATGGGTTTTAAATTATATACTAAATTTTGTACAAATTTTAAACCCCTCAATTCATAATAATTTCATTTGACATCTTGAACGCCTTGTTCGACTACATCATCGAAGAGAAAATAGACTAAAATCTAGAAAAATTCACTTAATAATGCTCAAAATTTTAAATTATATAATTAGCTGAGAGTTTTTGCTCCAATCATCAAATTTAGAATAACGTTCAAAACTCTATATTTTACTTTTTAAACAAACTTGACACCCATAGTGATTTTCTTAAATCATAAAATAATTTTGCTATAACTGAAAACATTCAATTTAACTCTTTCAAACTCACTCCTGCAAGTTTTGTTTATTAAAATTACAATTGATTTAACTAGTAAAAATCCATTTTATGTTAATTACAAATATATAATTACTTCCTTCTATTACCATTTATAATTATAAATTATTAGATTTATTCAAAATTAATGATTAAATTTTACTATCTGCATGTAAATTGTTTTAATTTCTAATATAAATTTAAATTATAAATCAACAAAATCATTATATTAGAGTTTAATAGTCTCTAAATACTGAGCTTGAAGCTTGAAACGAATAAAAAAATCAGAGTATTGTTATCATCTTGAAATACTCTCACTCGATTTAAAATATTTAATATAACAATTTTTTGAAATCAATTTAATTAAAATTTTTATTTATTTTTGAAATAAAAAAAGAAAGCCATTAAACTTACTTACTTACTTTAGAAGAATATTTAGATTATTAATATATTTGCTAATAAATTGTTTAAGTTTTAACAATTACATCAATGTAATTAATTATTGTTTTATTTATTAATAAGTTTTGAGTATAATATTATGAAAATATTAGATAGAAAATGAATAAAATAATAAGGATATTAATATTAAAATATAATTTTACAAATAATAATTTAATAAGTTTTATGAAATTAATTAAGTTACCAACTATCATTTATATATTTATTTATGAATGAAAAAAAGTTAATTAATATTTTTATTAGATTAATTTTATTACTTAATTAATGAGTATTGGCTTAAAATAATGCTTTAACATAAAGCATAAAATAATATTTAAATTTATTAATTTTTAATTTTCTGGAAATCTAAATATTGAAGGTTTTCAAACTTTAGTTTTATCTTATTGCTTTATTAAATTTCTTAAAAATCTTCTAATAGAAATGTTTTCTTTAATAACTTTAAATGGAATCATATTAAGCATCTAAATTGTTCTATTGATCTATATATATATTTAAAAAATTAATATGGTGAAAATTATAAATGTATGCAATTATTTACCTCTATTGACTTTTAAGTTAGCACACGTAAAATTAAGAACAAAAACGAAAAAAAGAGACAAACTAAAAATACTGCAAGCAAAATAGATTAGATTGATAATGAGGTGTTAAATTAGTTTGAGCAATATTGCATCTCATACTACAGGAACCAATTCTATAGTGGTTAGAAATAAATGTACAAAGAAGAGTCTTTTTTTTATTTAAATAATTAATTATTAAAGTTTCTTAAAATAATTATCACATACCTGCATCTATAAAAATTTGTCTGTGAGTAATATCAGCTGCTGATTATATTCCTTCTTCATAATAAATTAAATTTGTTTTTAGTATATTAAAATAAGCCTAGACAACTGTAAATAAGCCCTATATTAAAGATATAAATCAATGTAAATTTTTTTAATAAAAGTTTTAATCTTTAAGTTGTAAATATTTACAAGCTGGAAGTTCTGATCAACAGTTATATTACACTGAGAATAATTAGGATTATTGTAAAATTAGCATACTGATCCATAATAAACGTTGTAGTAATTATTTTAGAAGGTAATACTTTATGATTGTAGTCCTTTGTTGAACTAATAATAATAAAAAAGAATTAAAAAATGTTATGTTTATATCATGTAATTTACGTCTATCAAACCTGTTCTTGTACCTAGAAGAGATTATAATTATTGCAACCCAGTACTTTCGGCAGTATGCCTTAACACTGGAAAGTCTGGTTAAATAAGCATCATTTTTTGAACATTTATATAATATGCAATAGTGCTTTACAAAATAGTATCAGAATAGAATTAAGGCCAGACGAATTATATTTAAGCTTTTTGTTATAGCAAATTCACATAACTTATAATTGAGAAAAGAAGACTTAAAACCAAAACGAAGATGTATTTGGCTATTAGTATAGCTTGTCCTCTAAATTTGTGCTTTTTATATTTTTTAATGATTTTCTATCTCTTTTTCATAAGTTCTTCCTATAATTGTTATTCATTTGATTTTGCTGAATTTACAGAGCTTTAATCAAGATTATCAGTAGAGTTATCTAAATATCAAATAAAATATGTTAATTAATTAATCATATTTATAAAAATAATTGAAAAAAATAATTAGGTGATGAATTAATTACATTATGATACTTCTCTTGTTGTTTACATTTCATCTTCCTCCTCATCATCATTTTTATTTCCTTAATAAATATTTTCTTCTTCTTCATCAGATGAATCATCTTTGGCATTGTCTTTTTCGTTCATAGCATCTCGCAAAGAAGTAAAAGAATCCATAAATTTCTCACAATGCTTATAAAAGTAATTAATATTATTGATCGGTATTTCGAGGAAAAAGAAAAGCACACTTTCTTTTTATTCTTTAATAACTACTGTAAAAATAATAAACAGATAAACTGATAGAGAGGTGATTATGAAAGTGACAGCCAGGATGATTATCATTACAATATCAACTGAGTTAATTTGATTGCTAATATTCTAATTTTTATTTGTGGTTTATTTTAATAAGCTATTATTTCTATTTGCAAAGTGAATTTAAATTACTTAGTAAATTTATTAAGAAAGTGATCTCTGGTTGTAGTATATTGTATTAAAGAAATTGTAAATAATTGTATAGATGTTAGGATTATTTAAACTAATTTAAGATAGTGGCTACTGAGATAATTGTTGAGCTAATGAATTTATCTTTTTTTTTTTAATTAAAGTAAATTAATTTAATTGAATATTAATTTTATTGATTTCTGAAATAATTTTACTGTGAAAATAGCATTTGTTACAGATTAATTTTTGATTAATTTATCTTATTAACTGTAGAAAATATAAATCTCAAGAGGCTAATCAAATTATTATTAATCAAAAAATGAATAAGAAGAGTCACTCATATTAGTAGTTATACCGATAATGTTATTAATGGAGTTTTACATTTCTAAAGTAATTTCTGTTTAATTTAACTAGCTTACCATCTCAGGATATGTATTTAAATTAACTAAATCAAATGTTTTTGAAACTATGTTGTTTATTGAAAACAGCCTATCATTGAAATACTTAATTCCAACTAGGTAATCATAGTATCCATTGATTAAATTAGAACTAAACAAATACTAGTATATACTCAGACCAAACAAAATACCTACCCAAACGAAACTAACAAAGCCAAAGCATTTTATACTCAAGTGCTATATTAATTTTATAATTTAACTAAATATAAAAATATTTATTCTATCTATTTTACATCATAGTCAGAGCTTAGAGCTTATTTAATAGTTTAAAAGGAGTTCTTCTAGTTAAAAATATGTTCATCTTCTACATTCTCAAACTTATCAGCAAACTAGTTAGCAAAGACACTATTTTCTAGATCATCTTCCTCTTCTTCCTAATTTATTAATAAAAATAAAATTTATTTGAGTTTTTAAAGAAATAAATAATACTTCGTCAGAAGAATTGTGCTCTCCTAAATATTCTAACTTGTTATTCCACAAACGCTTTGTTCTTATTCCTATGCCATAATTAATCCTATTTGTGATTTCTATATCATTATCATCTTAATTAAAGTCATCATCATTAAATTCAAAATCATCGAGCTGTGGAGGCTTCATCAAATCAACAATCATTTTAGAAATATTGGATATTCTGTATGTGTTTAAATTATCAGATTTCGCAATTAGCTGTTAATTTAGCTAAGTAGATTTAAATTAAGTATGCGAAACCAAAACGTCTGTAGAATTTTATTCATGTTATTCTAATTTAAAATAATTTATTTAGCTTATTGAATTTTTTAATAATATTTATTAAGTCTACCTCGAATTTCATCTTTTTGAGCTAAAGTTTATTAGTTAAGATTCTACTCAAATACATTTGAAAATTGATTAGGAGAAGAAAATGCTTGTTTTATTAGCGGAGAATTAATAGATGCATTTAGAGTATGTACATCATCTATTTTGTTTTAGTTCATCAAATCATCATGGATACTTTTTTAGTCTGAGTTTGAGTTGTTGTGTCTTTGAGAATTTTTGGTTGTGTTGTGAGTGCTTTTATCATTTTTTTCAATCTTCTCGAATCTGAAGCAATACCCTATAAGCTAAGGCTTCTAAATTAGAATATCATCATCTTCTTCATCAGGAACACTCATAGTAATTACAATTTATGTAATCTAGCAGTTAGAGTAATTCTATAGTGTGCTTCCATCAATTTGCTTAACACTTGAGCATATTTCTTTACCTTTTCTCTAATTGTAATTCTATATGTTCTTCCAATCTGGAATCTTTATTAATAAGTAGATGAATTAACAAATTAATTAAAATGTAAAGCAAACAATTAAACGAAAAATAAAGAATTATATATAATATATGCTTACTATGGTTTCAATTTTAGATTTTTATTTTTTTATTGTGCTTGAATCAAGACCAAATAAGAAAATACAAAATGGAGTGATATCTTTTATAGTTCCTTCTTCATCTGTAAATATTACAGCTGTGCTCTTTTTGACTTAACTTGTTTGAAATTCTACAACATAACGGCTCATTTCATCATTGAGCGGAATTACTTTATACTGAATAGGGAATATATAGCCATTTCTATTTTTACCAAATCTTTGCTAAGGTTCATTAATGTAATTACTTTCTACTTATCCAAGTTATATGTTCTCGTAGTAAGTTATCATTATTTGTTAATGGTATTAAGAAATCAGTTGAGGGATTATTATTTCAACCTGTTTGCCTATAAGCTCTTCTCTTTGATATCCAAAATGTATTGAGAAAAGAGAATTCAAATCAATTATCTATCCTACCTCATACTTGTGTCCATTATTTACCAAAAGGTAGGGTATGGGGTTATCCTTGTAATTGTAATTTCCGTCTTTTCCATCTTTTTCTTTTTCTTTGCCAACCACAATTTATTCTTTAGCTTTTTTAATTAGCTCTAATCCAGATTCTTTCTCATTCAAAACGTAGATAAAAAACTGACCAAATATCTTTTTTTATTTAAATAGATTTAAAATAAATTTATTTTTCTTTTGGTAAATTTCATATTTAAGGTGAGAATTTTGATTAATTGATTACCTTTAGAATTTTAGGAATATCTTCCCTTATTTTAAGCATAGTGTTCATCTATTCTTTTACCTAAAAAACAGTCTAACTAATTTTACTGCCTATTATGTTAAGCTTTGAAAGAGATGGATTTTCTTCTTTTAGTTCCTACCAAAATTCTTTGTGCATAACAAGAGCTCTTTTCATGTATTCTTCACACAATTACAGAGCAGAATCAAATTGAATTTATTAAATTATATCGTCATCACCGTCTTCTCCATCATTATCATTGCCTTAGTTTTCCTCGTACATTTTTTTGAAACGATAAATAATAAATTCTTAATCGAAAGATGGTTTTGTTCTTCCTGCAATATCAAATTACTCGTAAGCTAGATCTTTCTTTTTTGTTTTAAATTAAATTAATCAAAATTAAAATAAAAACTATTGCTAAATTTTACTCTTTTCATTCTTTCTGTCAAGAAAAAGGCATAACTAATTCTTAGCTTAGTAGAAGCAGGAAATTTTTTGACACCATTTAGATAAACTCTATTTAACTCCTAAATAATTTTTGAATCAAAATATTAAATACTTTTTTTAATTTAGCTTCAATTTACTTTAATAAGATTTAGACAGGCTTCTTCCATCTCATTTTAATTTTCCTTTGATTTCTTTTTAGATTTTTTCATTTTCAAGTAGCAATCTTCTTCCAAGCATATTTCTTTATGCTTTTCAATATAACCAATTAAGAGTATTTTTGAGTTAATATCTGTCTTGTAGTAATCAATAAGTTACAAGACTTATTTAATATGAGCTTAAATTTGCTCACCGCTTGTAAACTTTATTTAATTCTTAATTAAAGTGTTAATTCTATTTCTATTAGAATATATCATAATAAGAATAATGAATGGCAATCCAATACCCCAAGCAATTAATCCTCCTGTATACGAAGATCCAAAAAGCTTACATAAAAATAAATTAGTGTTTGTCCATAGATAATATGTTGTGATTATCTAATAAAATCTTGCTACATACTTAATATTAAATTAAATAAAATTTAAAAAAATGCATATGTGAATAAATAAATATATTTTTACTGGATCATAGTAAGGATCTTCTATGTTATAGGCCCACCATAAAGGAATTGAGGGAATGAATATACATAGAATAATCCACCAATAATATGAAGAATCACCTAAAGGAAAGAATGTTAAAATGAGGGTTCCAATAATTTTGTTAGCAATTAGTGTTGTTTCTCCTCTAGAATCCTAAGTTAATAAATTAATTACATTTAATTTGATGAATAATTTATTATTTTAAATAATTTTTTCACATTCGAATCAAAAAATATTTTAAAGAAATAATTTTTTAATTCAAAAAATTTATAAAAATTAAATTTTACTTATCTCGCTTTTCTATCTCCTACAGTCATCATGGGCTCAAAGTAAGTGTAAGCAATTAAAAAAGCGAAAGAAATGTAAATAAGATTGAAAAATTCACATATAACAACATGAACTATATGCCATCCCCTGTAGCATATGACATCTAGAAAAGTAAAATCATAGTTATTAAGTACAAGCGTCCCTGTTGAATCAGCTGAACACTTTTATATATCAACCAAAGTATTTGTAATTGGTAAAAAAAGCACTGTAAAGAAATACTAAGCTAGCAATCTCAGAATATCTAATGGCCAAGTAACAGTGAGTTTTTTTTTTGAAATTTTGTAGCTAACATAGAATATATCTATAACGACAATTAATATTGATGCGCACACTAAATAGAGAGTAAAAACAAACATAAAATATGTGATTGGCATGTAATTCGTAAGTTAAAAGAAGTTGAACACATTAAACAACCAATTCATAAAGCTATCTGCGTTCCAAGCTAGACCGATACCCTGATTAAAGGGAAAGTTAAGCATTTAAATATAATCTGCAGCTGTAGCATAAATTAAACTCTTTCATTTAAATAAAAAATAAATAAAATTAATAAATTAATGTTCTACTTTTAAAAATGATAATTATCATTTTTCATAAATTTTAAAAATAAAATTATATTAAATTCTTTAACGATAATAATGCTTTTTAAAACTATTCTAAAAGCATCTATCTAGTTGAATTCAATTTTTTATTCGATAAAATTTTATTTTTTATTTATTATCATTTTAATTTTGTTATATCTATTTAAAATCAATTCTTAAATAAAATATGGATTGGTCTATTAATAATTTAAAATATATTTACGTAGACACTTTCAGGTTCTTCTTTCTTAAGGAGTACGTATAATGTATTGTAGGTAACTAATTTTAAATCTTCTAATATGGCTTCTAAACCTGTTTTCTCCTCTAGTAAAAAATCCTTTTTTTTATCTTTCTTTTCCTCTATATTACTCATTTCTTTTTCTAATCGGTAACCTTAAAAATTAAAAAAAGAAATACTATATTCAATTATACAGTATTAATTTTTTTAATTATTTATAATAATTAGATAGATTTCAAATATCAACAAGATTTGTAATAATCATTTCCTTATTAAGATTTATTTAAAAAAACTAATTCAAATTATTATTTTGATGTTTTTAATGAAATAGATGAACAATTATGCAAGTATTTTTACAAACATTAAACCATATAAATTATTTTTAAGTAGAAATTTTAATTACTTTTATTAAATTATAAAATTTTAATATTAAGGCAAATATTTTTATGCTCTATATTTTGTAGAGCCTATTTCAATTCTGAAATCGCATGCTTCAAAAACGTTCTACAACTTTTTAAAGATAAATAATAAAGAAATTTTTGATATCTTCAATTCTCTTAGGAGGATTGTGCTTTGTTATCTTTAAATACTCTTATTTAATTTTTTTGAGTTCTATCAATGAAATTTATTTATTTATCATGAGCTTTTCAGTACAATCTGAGAAAGTAATAACATTAGATTAGATGCTTTCTTATTATTTTTATACAAGTTCATCAATTACACTTTGCACTCTAAGATCTAATTCTTGCAAGAAATTAATCTCAAATTTTATTTCCTAATTAATTAAGTAAAAACAATATGATTTTTATTCATTCATTTTATCAATATGTGTTAAAAGTAATCTTTCAATATCCAAATAATTATTATATTTTTATTTACTGGAGCAGTAGAAACAGGATCTTTTGATTTCTTAGCCTAGTATAAGAGTACATTAGCTATTTCTTCAAATGGAGTTTCTTCTTTAGATCTCAAATGGAATAAAGGGGAATCCCAACGATCTTTATTTATATTAATAATTTACATATATTCCTTTTTAAAATAAAATTATTACTTTTAGGGATAGGAATTTCTAATCTATTATTGTAATCAGCCAACCTAGAATATTTATAATTTCAATTAATATTCCCTTTGTAAAATACAAATAATAAAATAGAATAGAATTAATTACATCTCCTCAGTAAAATTATTTGCATTTTTAGAATTATTTTCTTTTGCTAATTATGGATCACATTCACAATAAATAACACAATGTTAAGTTTAAGCAGCTCTAGCAAGGCAAAACAATTCATATCTATAACCTGTTTGTAGGAAATTAAAATTTTTAAGCTAAATCATATTTAATGAATTAATAAATTTGACTACCTTTTATATAATTTAGTGAATCCAAAATCACAACTGTATTTCCAGCTATATTTTTCTCAACATTAGATCTTAAGAATCCTCTTGCGAATTTTTCTGCCTAAAAATCTGTAAAAAAGTAATGAGTTTGATTGAGATGATGTAGCAAAATACAAAAACTAAATATGATAATATAAATTTATATTTTATGTACCTTTGTAAACTTCTTTCTTTTCCATTTAAAGTATCTCTTCATTCAAATGAACAACCTAACATTTATGTTTCTATTCTAAATATTCCTTGATTTATAAAGCTCTTGTTGTCTTTCCTGAGCCTGGAATTCCGCAAAATACTATTAAAGGCATTACTAAAATTATATACTTTTTTGTTAATTATCCAAAAACTATACTTAATTTTTATTAAAGTAGCTAAGAATTTTGATTAATTGCTACTTTATAAAAAAAATATTAATCTAGCCTTTAAAATGTCTAAAAGGCTGAAAATCTTATAAAATCTTACTAGATAATTTAAAACTGCTATACTTAATTTCTATTTTAATTTCTTACTGGACAGCATATTACAATAGATAAATTTGTGTATAAATATGTATTCAATTATTTAAATTAATAAAAAAATCATCCTTAATATTACTAAAATATTTGTCACTTTGGGGTTGGGGTTGGGGTTGGGGTTGGGGTTGGGGTTGGGGTTGGGGTTGGGGTTGGGGTTGGGGTTGGGGTTGGGGTTGGGGTTGGGGTTGGGGTTGGGGTTGGGGTTGGGGTTGGGGTTGGGGTTGGGGTTGGGGTTGGGGTTGGGGTTGGGGTTGGGGTTGGGGTTGGGGTTGGGGTTGGGGTTGGGGTTGGGGTTGGGGTTGGGGTTGGGGTTGGGGTTGGGGTTGGGGTTGGGGTTGGGGTTGGGGTTGGGGTTGGGGTTGGGGTTGGGGTTGGGGTTGGGGTTGGGGTTGGGGTTGGGGTTGGGGTTGGGGTTGGGGTTGGGGTTGGGGTTGGGGTTGGGGTTGGGGTTGGGGTTGGGGTTGGGGTTGGGGTTGGGGTTGGGGTTGGGGTTGGGGTTGGGGTTGGGGTTGGGGTTGGGGTTGGGGTTGGGGTTGGGGTTGGGGTTGGGGTTGGGGTTGGGGTTGGGGTTGGGGTTGGGGTTGGGGTTGGGGTTGGGGTTGGGGTTGGGGTTGGGGTTGGGGTTGGGGTTGGGGTTGGGGTTGGGGTTGGGGTTGGGGTTGGGGTTGGGGTTGGGGTTGGGGTTGG